TTGAAGAATGGAGTTGCTAGATGGGAATGGACATTAGTGATTGTTTTCCTTAAAATCCTGCTCTCATGTTGGGTTGTTTTTGACCTTCTCAGACACCTAACAGTCGGTGAATACTATTTCGGCTACAATATGTGTCCAATATTTCATACATATTATTGAATATATATATATGCAGTGCCTGTAGAAAAGCTGTATTGCAAATGATTTGTCATGTTTAACCATAAATGGAATGTTGTGTGCATATTTATATTTAAAATCCCTTAGTTCAAAAGTGCCTTAATTTTTTTTCCCTGTAGTGTTTAAAAATCACAAGAGCTGAATAAAGCAAATCTCCTCCAGTGCACCCACAAATTCAGCTTGAAACGCTGTAAGCTGCTTGTTTCCAAAGTCACGTGTGCCTCTTTCTCTGCTCTATTACTTGATAGCATGTTGGTCACATTTTCTCTCCGATATCCTCTGTGTATCTTGTTTCTTGTTCTCTGGTCACTGCTGCCTCTGATCGTCGAGGTCAGAGTATGTGCTGGTTTCTTTATTCTGCGGCTCATGGGATACCTGCTCAGGTGCAGAGGCTTGCCATAACGTGCATATAAACACTAAGCGCCCCCTCATGTTTTATGCTTTTCTTTTTCTTTTTTTTAAGTGTACCTTTTAATGAGTCTTGCCTTTTTTCTAGTTTTGCAAATTTAAAGAATGAAGATGTCATTGAATAATAAAGGTTTGGATATTGTTAAAAGATTACTTTTCCTGTTTCTGCTCGTGCCTCACGACCTTTTTCTGTATTAAAATCTGACCTGTGCTCTAAGCTAGCAGGGGGCCAAGCATAGTGATTAACTTAATTCCCACCATCTAGTGGATTTGGAAATGCAGTCACAAGGTATCATTCAGGGTTACTGTCTACAGGAGCATCTCCCAGGACGGAGACTATGGGTGAGTGAGGGGCCTTCATGGTGTCGTTCTCGCCACACTGGAAGAGGATGACAGTTGGCTGGAGGTCCTTGGTGCTTCCCATACTCCTTGGGGGAGAAGCTGGAAACATGATTTGAAGCGTTATGCTTGGTTTTGCCCTTGGAACAAGTTTTGTCAGGTGGATCAAGGCCATTTTACGGAAGGATAAAGCGTCTCAGAAGAGCAAACAGTTTGGCATGCCAGCCTGCCAAGTATCTAAGTAAACGCGGACGTAGCATACACACCTGTTTGCTCTGGCATTATGTTGTGGCTGAGTACACATCTGCTGTACAGTAAGCCCTATCGAATGGAACCTTTATCGCAGTGGCTCTCAACCTTTTTTGCACTGCAACACAGTTTTTACCATGCCAGCTCAATCGTGACCCTATATCAAGTATAGCTTTACATTAATGCTATCGAGCACTCTGCACCAATCAATGCCTATCGCACAAATCTGATTGGATGTGCCAGTGGATTTTTAAATTAAGCATCTGTGGTTTGGCTTCTTGGATTGGTTAAGTGTTTGCTAATCTGGCACTAAGCAGTTGCAGACGCAAGACCTGTTTATATAGGTTGATTCTAGGATTGGGGCTGCGAAATCTGATCGTGGATCAGCGTATGGGCTTGCTAGTTTTAAAATGCTTTTATTTCCAACTCTGCCTCACAAGCCTTTCAGAACTTACCGATTTGGGTTGCGACTCCTGGGTTGAGAATCGCTGCTCTATGGTACCTGTTGTAAATCCAGCATTTAAACGGTATCACACCTAATACTGGACCATGCAGAGGTTCTGAAAGCATTTCAGCTTTTGAGATCCTAATGTCAGGGTCCCTGAGCGTGTTTTTTTTCTTTACTTTAGAACACAAGACCGTACTGCAGCACTTGGCCTAGTCTAAAAATGTCTGGTTCCTTGTAGAAGTTTCTAAATGACTTGTCTGTAGGTTGTTTAACCTGAGTCGGGGGTGGAGTTAACAACAATGTTCTCTAATTATTCTCAGAGAAGCTATATTACTCTTACCAGCTTGTGAAGTGTTTTGTTGATTCATGAGAAGTCTAGGGCGTTCTCAGATTTCTCCTGCTCTTACGCTGTGTTCATTCTCACAAGCCTGCAAAGTTCTAGCAGTCTCCACTGCTCAGCTATAGTTGTTCGTTTTAGGCATGTATTTAATAAGCTGGTGTTAAATTTTTAAGCCTTTAGTCAGCACAGTATCTGCTGGAATTCTGGTCTTGTTTAGAAGGCCTGCAGTAATAAAATGGGAGAAATTTGGTTCTTCAAAAAAAAAAAATGCTTGTGGTCAAAATTTACATAATTCAACTATTTTTAGTACTTAGCAGGCAAGCTAATATCTCTTCATATTAGTTTTGCATTTTCTGAACTGGATCTTTGAATCTGTACAGTGTCTTTATTACAGGACCATGGAACAGAAGTGAAATGAACGTACCGAGTGCTGCCTGCTTTAAACGTCAGACAGTTCACTGATTCCTGGATGCTGGCTTTGTTTCCCTTCAGCCAGCAGGGACACTCTGTGCCAGCAGCGAGAAACACTGCTCCTCTTATCAGCACTTGGCTGTCCTGCCCGCTTTTTGCTGCCCAACAGGAAATCGTGGCCGTTACGTCACTGTGGATCTGAGCAAGATTCGTCCTGTAATCTGTTTTTGTTTGTTTTTTTTTGTTTTTTTTAAAAAAAGGTAGGTGGTTGTTGCTGGGAGGATTAGTAAGCATACATGCGGATGTTACTAATAGTAACTTAGTAATGGCTTTGAAGTAGCACCTGATCAGCTTGATACCAGCATTACGGAGTATAAATTCTGTACAGGACCTCCTGGTGGTCATCTGCTGTACTGCTTCACCTGGATCTTACTGAATTATCCTCTGCAATCTCCACAACAGACTGGCAGCTTCAGGCCACTGTGCAGAAAGGATGTGCCGGTGTTTCACATCAAAGACATGTTTGCCCTCCTCCCAGTGTCCTGGCATAAGATATGATCAATTTGGCTCAAACACAAGTACTTCATCAAATTAACCACCACCCCCCCGTTTAAGAAAAATACTATGTGGATTTAAATTAGCTTCACCGGAGTTCTCTGGAACTCCACTTCACATGTCCATATCTTCAAGATCAAGGTGTCCAACTTTCTCATGCTCGCAGGAAGTATGATGTGGGTTTGCCACATCAGCATAGAAAACAACCAGGAAATGACCATCAGCATATAGTGTTATTGTGGCCTTTGCACACTGTTCCCCAAGTGTCCTTCCTGGCCTGGTTCATGGCCATGGTGCAGGATGTCAGAATTGCTGACATGGAAGAATTTTTTGGGGGGGGGGGAACTAGGCCACAGGACCTGAGGTGTGCGGTAGCGGCAGAGTTGTGGTGAGAGACAGTATGGCAGAGACACCGTGTGGCTCAATGGGTAAGCAAACAGTCTTTTGTATGCATCACCACCAAGCCGTGGGGAGGAACTTTGAGTCACAGCTGAATAATTAGATTTTCCAAGTAGCAATAATCCGGTTAGCCACAGCAACAACACTGTGGATTCACTGAGTTCATCGTGGGGAAAAGCCACACCTCTCTTCCCAGGCGATTGTATTGTTTTCCAGTTACACCTCCCACTCAGTTTATTTTGTCAGGGACGTCCTAAATTTGGCTGGGAATAGGTGGGGAGACCTGGCTTTGTGGCGGGGTAGTGCTGGGGTCAGGTGTGTACTTGTGAACCTTCACCCCTCTGCATACAGTGCATGTGGAAGACACCCCTATTTTGACACACCACCAACAAGAAGAAACAAGGGCCTCTGGAATAGGCAACCCTGCACAACATGTAATGGAGCCTTCTGTGTTGTGGAAGCCTGTACCCTAGAACAAACGTCACGTTTACAGCACTGCCATGTCATCAGAGCACGCCTTAAAATCTCTGTGCCATGCCCAGTGCTGAGGATCAGGTTTGCTCTCATGAAACAGCAACGTGTAATTAGGTATACCATAAGGGCTGGGCTGTTCACTCGGCCAGCGCGTGCCACAGGCTTGGATAGCCCCGACAGGGAGAATCGGCATGCAACCAGCTCATTTTATTCAGTTGCTAAGGAGATGCAAGTTTCTTTGGTCGAAAGTATGTTGCTTGTTTACGCAGCTGCCCATTTAAGCTAGGCATGTTGAGTTTTATTCAAGGCTGTAATGGTAGGGTCCCTCTTGACGCAGTGTTGCTGCTTTCCTGTTATTCCCAGAAAGGTAAACAAACTCTGTGTCCTCTGAGTAACCGGGCTCAAATCAGACAGAACAAACCACGGCTGGGCATCTGAGTTTAATCGTCTCCCATCCCCGGAGGCCTGCGGACTGCTGACCTGATGTGCGGAGGCATGCCGTTCCCCGCAATCAGACCGCTGATTTGATTAAAATGTTAGCCATTACACTGATGAGTGGTAGGTGAATATCTGCTAAAAACAATGGGCCAACGCAGAACCCGACCAATGTGGTTTTGTGCACAGTTGAATAAATCAAGATCTGCCATTGCCAGTTAAAGGCTTTCCCCGAGAGTCTGATTGGGTAGGGCTCATTATGGTACCCATTGTGAGATTAAACTTTCTCTCTCACACAACTGAATCCCACAATACTGGATGGTGATCCACTTGGGGAGTTTACCCGAAGGTGTCCATAAGGCAATCCTGTCTCTGCTTCTTCTTGGTGGAAAAATGCCGCTTCTGACAAACTGGTAACTCAAGCTATTGTCCTGCTGGTCTCTAGTGACATTTCTTGACTGAGCACATAGATGCTCACTTAAGCAGGCGGAAAATCTGCTCGGGGGCACAGCGATCCGTTCTCCTTGTTTTGCATCACTGATACATTATTAACCCAGTTCATAGATAACTGAGTTTGACTTGGCAAGAATAACCCCTCTTTGGAAAAACGTGCGATTCTGTCAAGCTGCCATTTAGGCTTTTCCAGTTCATTATTCAGAGGTCTTTTGTGGTCGTCTGCTATCAGATGGCAGTACGGACGCCATAAATATGGCAAGATCGAGACACAGAAACAAAAGCATGTTTATCGGTTGAGACAAAGGTGCTCGTTGTGTTCATTCAGACCAGTGTTAGCCACTCAGCTAGATGGCCTGACTTGAGCATGAAAATAAACTGCAGAATTTAAAAACCTTAAGGATGCTTTTCCCACAGAGGAAGTATTGAAACTGACATCGTCATAGAAAACATGGATTTTTCCAGTCCCCCTTGACTTATGGAAGGGGTATTTATTTTTTTTTATCTGGAACATATTTTCTCTGGACCTTGACAGTGACATTGCGGGATTCCTCTCCAGTACTGCTGCTGCTGTCTGTGTGACCCTGACTTCCCTTGGCCCCCGTTTGCTTTATAAAGCTGGTCTCCTCAGAGTATCTGGGCTAGACCGAGGCAAAGTGGTCTGGGAATGTGGTTGTTCAGGTTCAGGTGGTCCTGAGTGGCTATTTCACTGGATTGGGCCTGAGCTTTGCTGAGAGCCATCTGATTGGGAAACTTCAACAGGGACAGGAGTGTCAACTATCATTTCTTGAATCAAGACTTTCAGGGGGTGTCAGCTGGCTATAAGTTTAGGGATAATTGCTACTCTTCAAATCGGTGCTTGTTCTAAGGGAAACTACTGAAAGTTTAAAGTCAGCCATTGGCTAGTTAGGCTAAAAGACCAGGGAGGTACCAGCTCTCAGTGTGGTGGACATAACACTGTGAGCTCATGGGCATTTTACTAACGCAAAGATGTTCTGAGGGCAGAAGAAAAGTGGAACCAGATTGTAGAGGAGATTGGTTGGACCCATCAGATGTCTTGGGCCCGTCTCTCATCTAGTTGCTTGGACCCACCTATACAATCTGATTCTCTCTTTGAACCAATGATTTTTTCCCTTCTGCCCTCAGAGCATTTTTGTGCAAGTAAAACTCCCACAAGAACATAGAGATGAAAAGCAGGCAAGGAGATCCTGAGTTGTGCTACACCCCATTGTACACTTGCTAGTTATGGAAGCCAAGTTTTTCCTATTCCAAAAAGTGTTCCATCTTTTCAAGGGTGAAGCGGCTGTGAGCCACAGAATACAATAACTACTCGGTCTACTCCAACCCTCCCTGCTCTCTTTCGTGGAGGAATCTACAGTAGACTATGAATTTACTTTACTCCGTAAGAAGAAATGGTCCGGCATATGATGAGGCCCTTTGTTTAGGACACAAGTGAAGGTAGGTATGAAACTTAAAGTACAGCACACATTTTATCAGACGCCATCTGTCCATGAACTTGCACAGTTTGTTCGGACGGGCTCTGCTCTTACTGGGAGATAATGTCTCAGCATACCGAGGTTGAAGGCAAGGCTACAATATTAGGAAGAGAGCATGGAGCAACTCCATGTGGACCGGAACCACAGAAGGCTGTAGACATCAGTGCTTCAAGCTACAAATTGCTGGTGGTGTTCAAGCAGTTGATTATGGTGTCACATGCTGTTTGCAAGACGGCTGTTTATTTTAGAAAAGTGGGATAACTTTCAATTACATGTCTGATGAAATAGTGCCATCTACTGGATACAACTACTTAACTGTCCTATTATGTTCATTTTTCAGGAACAGCAATGGTGTTCCTGGGTCAATTTTACCCGGTGCATTTTTAATCATCCAAAAGGTGTCTGAAAATAAAAAAATCTTAACAATAAGTCTAAATATTTAATCACTAACTACTTTACTAATTATTCTACCAATATTTAGCGCAATGGTATTCCTTAGCTCTAACAGGTAATGGTGCGATTAGGATAAGTAACTCGGAACATGGAAGATTGAGGGGCCCTGTTCTTTATTACCAGCAGCTCAGCAGGGAGTTCAGCCCTGTTCTTGTCTGTGTGTGTGCGTGTGTCTGTGTGTGTGTGTGTGTGTGCATGTGTGATTGTAGTGAAATATGTCTCACAATTGCAAAGACAGAAATACTCTGACATTTCTGACACCCTTTTACCTCCAGTTTTGCTGCTGGGTAAAATTACCCCGAACAGTATCTGTGATATGACCTTTCAGGGGGGGTGGTTGCAAATATATGAGATGAACCATTTTC